GATTGCCTATTAAACAAAAAAAAAATAAATCAAACATGAAAAATATAAAATTCAAAAAATATTTACGACATTCGAGACCACATTTTGGTGACTGACAATTTGAGCAATGTATAAAACATCCAGGACATTTTAAACGATTACAATCACATCGATCTGTTTGATCAGATATAAGAAAACCAGACTCATCATATAATGGTTTACTTGCACTAAAATTAACTTTTTTTTTTGATAATAAACTCTACGATCTATTTTCGAAATGAAAAAAAAAATATCGATTTTTGTTGTTATATTCTTATATAAAGGAAATATTTATAATTACCAATATTAAAAGCCATATATATTATGTAGATAGCAAAAGATTTATCTTCTTCAATGTCATGTCTTTATTATCCAATAGGAGATGTTCGTAGGTACCTGAGAATTTAGCTCTATAGATGTAGTATACTAACTAACCAGAAAACACGTTAAAATCAGTTGCATTCTATGTGGCTTCTATTTTCATACAATCATGACTAGTTGAAATAGAAGATCTACTGTATATGATAGAAATAACAAAATTAGAATAGATTTCACAACGAATTTTCCCCTGCAACAAAACAATTCATTGACATATTTGGTTGGTGTCCACAGTATAAAAGACTTCGGTAAGGCATTTCAGTGTATTGAAAACATGCATACAACATTTGATAGGGCAAATCAAGTTGTATCTAGGACACAAATCGAACATTGGAAACGTACTTCTAAACGAATCTCGGCTAATTTTACAGTAAAAGTATCATCGCTACACACTATATAAGTCACCTATTAATAGTTTTTCACGGGTTATCTACAGTATAGTTTGTGGTTTCGCCCATCGCAATCTACGAAATCATGGAGCCTCTTAAACACTCCTTTGAACATGAATGGGACATCTGCAAACATCTTCCTTCACAGATATTAGCTGATTTTACTGTATCAGCCACAAAGTCATGTATAATGGGGTTCATGTTTGCGATTTCTGCGTACACGGTTAGCGGTATTAAACAGCTCAATATACCATCGTATACAGATGTGTGAGCCATCCTAAGCAAATAAATGGAACATTTGGCACATGCTGCTCGGCGAATCTTCGCAGGTTTTATTGCATGAAATCTAGGATTTTTATGGTGATACACTAGTATTTTTAAATTTTCTCACACTCAGTTTGACTTCTGGAAAATCTGAACATACCATTCGACAGAGCGCGTGCAGTTGTACTTGGAACACAAATGGAACACTTGGAACATGCTCCAACGCGAATCTTGGCAAGTTTTAGTAGATGGATGCAAAATCGCTCATGGTGAAAATCTAGTATTTTTTTTATTTTCTTGGACTTGGTTTGAGCTATCAAAAATCGGAGTGCACTATTCGATAGAGCTCATCGAGTTGTACTTGGAACACCAATGGAACCTTTGGAACATGCTCCTGAGCGAATCTTGGCTAGTTTTACTGCCTAAAATCTAGGATTTTTGTGGTGATACACTAGTATTTTTGAATTTTCTGAGACTCAGTTTGAGTTATGGAAAATCTGAACACGCCATTCAATAGAGCGCGTCAAGTTGTACGTAGAACACGAATGGAACACTTGGAACATGCTCCTAGGCGAATCTTGGCAGGTTTTAGTAGATGGATGCAAAACCGCCCATTGGGGAAAACTAGTATTTTCTGATTTTCTTGGACTTGGTCTGAGCTATCGGGAATCGGAGTATATCATTCGATAGAGCTCATCGATTTGTACTTGGAACACACTGTGGAAAAATTGGAACATGTACCTGGGCGAATCTTGGCTGGTTTTACTGCCTAAAATCTAGGATTTTTGTGGTGGTCCACTACTATTTTTGAATTTTCTCAGACTCAGTTTGAGTTATGGAAAATCTGAAGACGCCATTCGATAGAGCGCGTCAAGTTGTACTTGGAACACGAATGGGACACTTGGAACATGCTCCTAGGCGAATCTTGGCGGGTTTTAGTTGATGGATGCAAAACCGCCCATGGTGGAAATCTAGTATTTTCTGAGTATCTTGGACTTGGTTTGAGCAACCGAGAATCGGAATATACCATTCGATAGAGCTCATCGAGTTGTACTTGGAACACACTGTGGGACAATTGGAACATGTACCTGGGCGAATCTTGGCAGGATTTACTCGAATCTGGTGCTAACTTCACCTACGTNTAGGAAAAATCGTTTTTACTGCCTAAAAGCTTGTTCGATGCTATACAAAACTGACTCTGGAAATTTTTCATTTGGAGAAATAGTTTCGCTAGAAATTAGAGTTTTCTCGGCTGTACTGGAAAAAAAAGGTCTTTTTATGTAACAGCGTTACGCGATAATAAAACCTTTCTAGACGTTCGAGACTTGAGCCGAAAAAGGTCGTTCTTATAGCATAAATAGAGTTTGATAAGTTGTGTCGAATGGCGTTTGAATGAACTTTCTAGCTGTTAAACCTTCCAAGTTAATTGAAGAACAGTGTGTCAAAAACGTAACAGCGTTACGTTTGGACAAGCCGAGAACCAGAACTACACCAGGTTTACCGAGACTATGACCAGAACCAAAGAAACTTGATCTTACACATGTGATGTAGTAGTGATGGATTGATATGTCATAATAACTATATAATCAACATAAAAAGTGTAAATTGATCAAATTATAACTTTCGAAAATAATCAATGTCAGTGTTTCTAAGCTTAACGAGATATATAAATAGTATGCTGAGACCTGCTGTATGCTTTTTGAATTCATACAACAGACTTGTTTGACAGTCAAATCAATGACTAGAATAAGTAATAATAATGTTAAATTACGAAAAATAGAATATGAAAAAGAAAAATAACAACAGGACAAACAAAAAATTTCTGTTCGAAATGCAAAAATAAATACGAAGGATCGCTTCTCTGAAACACGATTATCCTGAAAAACAAATGATCTATTTTGTATTAGTATAGTCATGCTAAAGAATAGATGTACATTCGACATTTTAAACTGAAACGGATTACGCTAACAAGCTTTTTCTCGTCTGTGACTTATTGACATGTGCCAGTTTATGTAAACAGATCTCTTCTTTTCTTCTTATTAAGAGTTGTTCAAAGATATTTAATTGAAAATGAGTAGTAATTTGTAAAATAATCATACGATGCATCTTGTATTAATGAGAGATATATATTTCCCACATTTTTTTCTAGACTATCCTTAGTCACGGCGCCATAAGAAGACAAAGCGAAGGCGAAGGGTCTAATTTAATTTAATGTGATTCCAGGTGCCAGGAGAAGAAAGTGTATAAGAATAATGTGAATAAGCTAAAAAAGAAATTGACTGTAGGTAGCACTCAAAAAGAATTTTAGTAGTGGAATAAAGATGTATATGATTGGAAAAAAAGAGTTAATGAAAAACGAGACAAAGTATTGAAAACAAAGCAACTATGAACATGAATAAATGTACATACAACGAGAATAAAGAGAAAACATAGGTGACGGCTAGTACCGACACAAAGGCAGTTAAAATCTCCGAAAATTTTCTAAATTCATCACAAAAATTTAAAGTTGTTTCTAATGCAATGGTCGTACCAAAGATCTAATGTGAGCCCAAATACCTCTGGCTAAAAATCTTGGCATCACTACTAATTATCATTTCCATCAGATTTTGTTTCTCAACTTTGTGTATTCTTTTTCTTATTCAACAGGAACTACATAATATTACCGACAACTTTGTGTAGTAATTTCATGTTTTTTTTTTGTTCTAGCTACAAGTTAGAATAGAATAGATAGGAAACTCTTTGTTTTGATAACATGAGATACTTAAATGTATAAATGAGTCTGTGAAATAATTCATTGTTTCAATTTGGAATGTAGTTTTACTCATTATTGTTAAGATCAATGACATGACAAATTGAGTGAGAAACCTACAGTGTGAATAGTTCTTTTTGCATCAATCAATCAGATTTATGTTGATGAGGTAAGATCTCCAAGTGTTAGTCTTAGTTTCGAATGGAATATGTACTAGTTTGTAGAGCTCGACGAGCTGATTCTCGTAGGATGTTTCGTTTTTCTCGAATAGAGCCTTAAATGAGAAAAACTGATCGGTTTTACTAGTAAATTTCTTTATTTTGCATAAGTTTCGAGACAATTGTTTGAAATTTGGGACTTAAACTTAAAAACATACTCAATACGATATGTAAATCTATTATTATATTATTTTAAGCGCAAATTAAGCTTCAAGTTCTGAATACATAACATAATTTTCTCTCAGAACCACAAAAAGATCACCAAATGTAATAATTCTACAATTAATATCCATAGTGATGATGAAATTGTTCTCCTATTCTTTTAAAATAATGTAATAATAGACTATTACATGTTGCATTATCAATGTTTTAGCATGAACATCTAAATTTTAAGTCTCAAACTTCTAACAACCGTCTCGACACTTATTCAAAATAAAGAAATTCACTAGTAAAATCGATCAGTTTTTCTCATTCGAGGTTCTATCAGGGAGAAAACGTAACATTCCATGAGAATCAACTCGTCGAGATCTAAAAACTGTTATATATTTCATTCAAAACCGAAACTAAAACTTGGGAATCTTTCCTCGTAAGAGAACTGAATGGTACAAAAGTAAAACATCCTTAGCTTACTGTTGCATGTCTCGAAGAATACATCACATAGACTAGTATTATCAATAGGTCATATACTGATGATCGACTATCACCATTGTATTGCTAATTTATATATTATGTTTTGTTACAGAAATGAAACAGTAGATATCGTTTATGAATAGATCTGAGAACTTAAAATAATGTTCATTATAATATAATATATTTTTCGAAAAAAATAATATCATTCATTACTTTAATATAATAATAAATATATATTAAATTTTGAAAATCTCTTCATAGAACTCATTCAAATGTCGTAGTAATGGTCATTGTGAAGTAACTGTTGCAACAAGGAAACGTTGTAAAAAATGTCGGATAGAAAAATGTTTTCAAATGGGTAAGATGATTTCTATAATATTCTCATCATATTTATTTATTGTCTTTTTTTTAAAGGTATGCGCAAAGAATGGATTCTATCAGAAGAAGAGTATGTTAATTTAATTATTTATCTATGTTATTAGATTTCGAGAAAATTTTTTTTTTTATTGAAGAATCATCAGATCTATTTATTCAGTTCTTTTATTGATGATGAGAAAAACTTCTGAAAATTTAAAAAATAAATATATATAGAAAAATTTGGTTATTATATGTGAATAACTTCTTACTGAATTAAACATTAGAATAAAAGAGAGCTGGATGTAGGCTTAATAATTTGACAATAGTAACAACTAGCTACCTGGGGTTTGCAACACTCGAAAAATGAGAACATCAGATGGGCTTTTGTCTGATACTATATAAGATGAAATTTTCAAATTCTATCATTTTCGCAAAACATCGTTAAAAAATGTATGAGAACGAGACTTCATTTCAAGGAAAGTTTGATAAAGAAAAATCAGAAAATTTGCTAAAATTCAATAGAAATATTATATAATTTGACCAAATGAAAAAGCGATTTTGTTTGAGACGTGAGACGATAATTACCTGAACGATTCTTTGAACAAAAGATCTAAAACATATGTTAAAATCAAAATTTCACCGAAACAGACCAATATCTTTATGTATTTCTTTAAAAATAATTTGCAAAAATAATGAGCTTTAAGATAGCTTTGTCCTATTCATAGTATCAGACAAAAAATATCGTTCGAAATTTTCCTTCTTCGTTTGCTGAAAACTACAGATCGCTATCTGTTCTTCTTCTCGACGTATTGAGCTTGAACTACCAGTCTTTAGTTCTAGCGCGGATATTAGTTAAAAAGCAGTCAAATATATGTGTGTTATAATTATTAGTTTCGAATACTTATGCACAGCAATCAGTAAGCAAAAAAAATAATATTTCGTGAGTATTCAATCATTCATTCTTTTTATCATCGAATGATTTTTCATTAACCCTTTATCCTGAATAACTGTTCGAGAAGAGTTACTAATAAAATAACTTTGCAAATAGACTATAGTCTATCTCGTATGCTAATGATGTGGTCTGATCCACTGAGTGTCTACATATTTATGTTAGATAATTCGGTTGGTCCAATGATCACGTGGTAGAGAAAAATATCATTGAGTGGACAAAAATAATATCAATCCGATATTATTGTAGTAATAGAAAATAAGATCGGAGTGAACCGATAAAAATTAATGTCAAAATAATCCATTTGTTTTTGACCTATCTTGTTAAATAGACATTGACTTTGCTTTGAGCCATTTTATCATCTCTAGGAACACCTTTAATTTATAATAAATATAATATCAGCTTCTCATGAGTTAAGATTTATAATACATATATAAACTTTGTTCTTGATTGCCCTTCAGCTGTTCAATAATGGCTTCATGCCTCTTCTTCAATATTGTAGGCCCAATATTTCACAGCGGGAGTGATGAAAAAAAAATTTCTTATTATTTTCAAATTTCATGCTTCCTTTATTTTTTGTAATCGTTTTACAAACGGTCACTCCAGTGACCAACAAAAATTAAATGATTAAATTTCTCATTGCTTAAAAATAATCAAAGAAGAAAACATTCAAATTCTACCGTCGAGAAAAACATATACAAACTGTTATATTTTTCATTAAGTGATCCGACAGAGGTTTTATGGACCTGAAGGAAGTTGTAAATTGAATATGAGAATAATAAATATAAACTATTATTCAAGCTTATGGAAGTGTGAAATAATAGAATCCGATTATTATAAGGCCATGAGTACACATATTTTATTATTATCTGAAGCGAAATACCTCGAGGAAATATTGCAGCTAATTGCTTTATACTGATGTCTATCTAGCAACAAAAAACAAGAAAAAATAATTGCTTATATTAGTCAGAAAAATTAGTATTATCGATAATATACATAAACTTCAAGTGCATCATGTATTTTCTGATAAATTACATTGATACTATCTTTAGATAGATGGAAGGCAATGTAATAATAACATACTTGTATCGATTAATATAAATCTAAATCTTCCTGTTAAAATCATTAATTGTTAACATGTTAACTAGCAGTATTACAAAGCGCTAAAACTGAAGTTAAAATTTATAAGTACCTAAAAATATGAATTTAATGAACTATGTTGTTTTCCTTTTGTGTTACTAATGTTCATTTCAGAAAATGTGGTTTTTAAATGTAGAAAGATGAGATGAAGTCGTATCAAATCATATATTATAGCTTCTCTCATAAGATGTTTTCTGAGGTCTTTTTAATCAATTTTCTAAAAGACAAAATGGCTGCTAAAATGGTTTCTTCTAATATAAGAAAAGCATTTTTTTTTTGCACAGTAATTACTTGAAAAATCGGTTGTAAGTTTTTACTAGAATACTTATGACTTCTGAATGACTAAATCAGAAAGTCTGAGGCTTGCGGAGTATTGTAGATCTTCTACCAAGATTTCGAATACACGTCTAATAATTGAAAGTTCACTGTAATCACCTCACAGGATACGTTAGATTTCACAAACGTCGATTGAAAGCTTTTGAAACATTTCTAACATACGATTCAATGCGTCTTCATCTTCTCGTTTTAAAGATAAAAACTGTCAAATCTCTCTGCCTTGTTTCTATCAAATACTATTAAAAATTATTCTCACTCGTCTTTTATTTTCGCAAATGAATAATAGATGATTAACTTTTTGACGGTGGACTTATTTTTTTCATAAAAAACTGATATTATGTTGCCAAAATTAATTATATTCTGAAAGTTTTTAATTGTCATAGTTGTTGCACTTAGATCTCATTTAAAATATGCAACTAGATTATTTTGTAATGAAAACAAAAACAAACTAAAAATTTACCAAAATATGAAATTCCTTGTAGGAATCAACTATGCAAAAGTTCACACCATAATCTTTACTTTTTTTAGGTCTTGTATTAATATTTGCACATACGACACATTTTTTTCTTTCCGTTATTTGAGGTACAAGAGAAGAAAAATGTCTAGCAGTGAGTCTTGTTGGTTAAGAATTCTGTATATATCGTCAAATAATAGTTTTTTTTGAGTATGATAGCTTTGTAAAATGAAAGTCTACCAATTGACCTGAGAAGTAATGAGTCAAGTATATGAAAAAATAATTTTCTATACCATTTGATACATTCTCTTATACGTTCTAAAAAGCTAGTTTGCATGTCAAATTTGTCAATTGCTCCTCTTTTAGAATTGTAATCTTTTATCAAAATTGGTTTTAATATGATCTTATCGAACTGCCGTAAACTATTTATACGACAAAGGTATCTCCTATTCATACTACTTTAACAGAATATTCTCGAATACTAAATAAAATGATTTTTTTCATATCTATCAAGGATGGTACCTTACGAAAAGCATCCCTAAGGTCTATAGTATGTCACTATTGAGCTTCGTCAAGTTATCTCTATATACTATGGATTGAACAAGCGAGTAATTCCTTTACTAACCTATGAAAATTTTGAAGCCGTTTATATATACCGAGTTCACCGTCAAAAGGTTAAAGATTTCAAGACAAAAATTATCATCTTAGATAATCTTCGATAAATGAAAAACGATTTTTCAGTAATAAATTATTGATACTAAATTATTTTCATTTTCTATAGTAAACAAAGGAAAAAACATAAAATAGCAGAAAATCGTCGTCGTCAACAAACCAATGGACCTACTCGACAACGTCGTCGACGTACTCATATTTATGTACGATTTATATATATATATATCAAATATAAAAACGATTTCCGCATGTTTTTAGTCTAGAACAGATGAAAATAGTTCTGGTAATGGATCACCTCCTCCAAGAATAATCGATAATGTAACTTCATTAATGACTCAATTTGATTGGTCTAAAATTCAACAAGTTCAAGCAGCATATAACGATGCAATTGCATATAATCAAGTTGTTGGTGTACCTCTTTATCCAGCAACACAACCAATTCATTCAACACTTGAATTAATACGAATACCGACTTATTTATCATCATTACGTCTTATAACATATTTAAGAAAAATTCCTGAATTTGAATTAATTGATTCAGATGATCGTGTAATATTGGTTAAACATAATCTATTAGCTGTTGTATTTATGCATATAGTTTTAATTTATGATCCTGTTGCTGATACATATCATGAACATAATACACAAGATCCTATATTTCAAGGAAAAGATTGGATTGAAATATTAGGTGAAGAATTTTATCATGATTTAACAGCTACAGCCAAGAAATTAATTCAAATACTTGAATATGATCGTGTTATAATTAAATTACTTCTATTAATTATTATATTTACGAAAGCTTTTTGTGGTTATGATATTGCCCATGAACCATCATTAAATAATAGGTTCATTGTATCTAACATACATTCTATGTATGTTGAGATATTATATAAATATTGTTTGCATCAATATGGTTTTAATAGAACGACACATTTATTTACAAATCTTATTAATTCATTATCTGCTATACAAAGATTATCGTCAAAGTTGAAAGATTTGGTACATTCGAATATTAATGCTTCACAATTATCTCCATTAATGCAAAGTGTATTACAAATACCAGATGCGAGTCCATCTAGTTGACATTGTATTTTTATTTGGAATAAAAACGATAGCGAACAAATGATATGATTGCTTGTTTCTATGTGTAAATATTCAATGAAACAAATGAATCGGATTTCTGCATGATAAAGCAACAACAAATATATATATATATATATAATATATATATTGTTTTATTAAGACAATAGTTTCAATTGGTTTTTGTCGTGCCAAAGAATGGAGAAACCAGTGCATGATAAAAACTGATTGCGTCTGCGAACAAAGCAAAATCATACATTGTCCTTTTTTGTACTGCTAGAGACACATAAATAACGTAACAGTATGAAGATTTATATGAAATCAACAATCCTTTTTTCTGATTTGTTTTCTTCTAGAAATAAAAGTCCAAAATCATTTTCAGATGAGTTTGTTGTTAATCCACTAATACAGCGACATCTATTCGTATTTTTTCTGGGAATCAAACCACCTATTTTATATTCATATCAGATGGTAATCTGGCTTCTTTACGATCATTGATACCATTGACATTCAGTTATGACAAAAAAAATAATATTCATAAAAATTAAAAAAACTATATATAAAACTTCATGTTTGGTATTTATACGAATCTCAAAAAACTTATTAATCATTTGAGTTCTCAAAATCTTGTTCATGCTACTTAATGTTTTTTTTTCATTATATATTCGTATATCTTATGTAAATACTTGAAATTATCTGCAAATTCTAATATAAATTAAAAATTTGTTCAATTATTCATTGATTTTCGAATAAGTCGATCTTCTCGCTGATTCGCTATTATAAACAAATTATTTTGTTTTATTATTATTATCAATAAAAATGCTATTCATCGTTTTTATTTAATCTAAGAATATTCTTTTAAAGATTCTCAGCGCATAATAATAAATATTACACACAAAAAAAAAAGAATAGCAGCCATTGGTTAACTAGCGCACTCTCTTTTTTTTTCTTTCCTTATATTAGTAGAGGTTTATTATTTTTACATTTTCTTTACTTTTCTCGTATTCATCGTTTGCCATCCAACGGAGTACAAGAAACCGTAGAAGGAGGCATAAGCAAAGGATCAATAATAACATTCTTTTCGTTCTGTTTTACTGCTTATTCCCTTTTTTTTTTCTCATTTTATTAGTAATTTTGTGGCAATAATAAATTAGTTTATATTTGTGTGAAGCCTTTTAAAAACCACAAGAAATTGTTATTTCATGAACTATTGTGTCATTTTTGTTTTTGTTATTGTTACTAAATTTTAGAAAGATATTTAAATAAATATTCTGAAAACATTTTTAAGAAAAAAGTGTGTCTATTCGTTGGTTAATATTTTTCTTTTTTTTTTTTTCTGTTCTGGTATAGAGATATTATAGTGCATTATTTACATTATTTTTTATAGTCGTACCTGTCAAAATAATATCATCAACTCATTACTCTTTTCTCGTTTTTTTCTTTTTTTCTTTTCTTTTTGTCTTCTACTATTTGGATTTTTTCTCCATTCTACATTATAGACTTTCGCTAGTTGGATATTGTTTAGTTAGTGTTTTTGCTCTTCCTCTCTTTCTTGCTTCATATTCTTCTTTTTTTTTCTTGTCTCTGTGTATTTAAAGTTAACAAAATCATTTTCCTACTAATGCTTTTCTAAAAATTATCACTTTATAAATTAACTATGAATCAAAATAAGATACGTCATCGTAAACGACTTTCACATCGTCAATATAACCTTAAGATTAACAAAAACAATATAAGAGATGAATTATTTTCTATATATAACAGTCAACAACCAGAACATCATACTAATTATATACAGAAAAAATCTGACGGGTTAATATGTAGCATTTGTGACGGATCAGCACATGGTTATAATTTCGATGTTATTTCATGTGAATCATGTAAAGCATTTTTTCGACGAAATGCTTTAAGATCTGATGTATATACACATATAAATAATATTTTCATTGACTATATGAAATGATTTTATGTTTTATTCTATAGGAAAAACTTGTATGTCGAGCTAATGATGGTCAATGTGTTATAACAGTGTCAACACGGAAAAGATGCAAAGCATGTCGATTAACAAAATGTTTTGAAAAAGGTTCTTTTTTTTTCATCTTATTAGAATAAGAATATATATATATATATTGTATTGAATTTCAGGTATGCGAGCAGATTGGATATTAACAGATGACGAACGTATTAAAAAAAAGGAGAAAATTGAAGAAAATCGTCGTCTTCGTCAAACACTTATGTCAAATTCATTCGAATCAGATGAGGTATAATAATAAATTAGTAGAATTTTGTTTTAGTTTTTGTTTTCATAGGCATCATATATTCCATTGAAAAATGAACAGTTGGAAAATGACGATGTAAAACTTTCTCCTTTGTTATTGTCAATATTATTATCATCAAAAGATTTAAATCAAACCCAACAAATTCAACAAGCATATATAGATTCTGTTCGTTTAACATCATTACCACCATCAATACCATCATATCCACATACAGCACGAATAGAGGCTACATGGGATATGTTAAATTTTCCAGCAAATATACAGGCATCACGTCTTATTAGTTATTTTAAACTTATACCAGAATTTTCATCTTTAAATGAAAATGATAAAATGATATTAATTAAATATAATACATTTACATTAGTATTTATACGTTTAGCATTAAACTATGATCCATTAACTGATTGTTATCATGAACATAATACAGATGATTGTGTATTTTCTGGTCGAGATTTTATTCAATGTTTTAGTTTACATCAATATGTGCAAATAACACGTTCTATTGTTCGATTATTAAATGCATCACAAAATGATCGTCTTATAATACAAATATTATTAATAATTATGTTATTTTCAAAAGGTTCATCAATTTTTACATATATAGATGAAGCTGAACCAATAGTACAAGATATATTATCTATATATCATGTACAAAATATTTTCATTGACTTATTATGGAAATATTGTGAAATAAAATATGGTTTTACAAGAACAATTCATATTTGGTTAAAACTTGTTACATCTTCAATAGAAACACATTTACAAGCATATCATATTCGATTGAATTATATTAAAAATGAGTTTATTGCAGATTACCTTGTACCACTTATGAAATCAGTTACATTAATCGTCTAGAAGAAAGATAGTTTTGTTTCCAGATGTCAACATGTATTTTTCTGTTAATGTTTTTCTATTTGTATAGATTATTGACATGAATTATTTTTTTTTCTCAAATTAGAAAACAATCAAATCATACGAATCTTTTCATGTTTCTATTAGAAAATGAACGAAGACAGTTAAACTATAGAGTTGAAACTAATTAATAATCATTTTTCTAATGTTTTGATTTATTCTATGAGAGTTCAACTATACTTAAATTGAGTTGTTGAGTTCTGATAAATGCGATATCTTCTTAGAGATAGGAAAACAATGTTAATTTCAGTCCCATGATGAAATGTCATAGTCAATAGAGTATAGATTGTTTCAGTTCTAGAATATTAATCATAATCATGTTAAAAGCTTTTATTGTATTTAACGATTGATAGAATTTAGGTACTTAGATAATAATATGAGAAATTTTTGTCTGAGAAAGAAAGTTGACCTTTTTAATGGAAATGCCCGATGGTATATATTTTGTTATTTTAACTTATTTGCAGTAAGAAAAGAATTCTTTTGATTAAATGATCAGAAAAAACAACATTATTAATAAGGTTATTTTTTTTTCTTGACTCTTCATAGAGATATAGATTTAAAATGATAAATATGAATAAATAGTATTCGAAGAAAGTAAAAATTATTTCTTCAACTCGACATTTTTAAAGGATTATGAAAAATAAAAAACCTTTTCTCATAATAGTCATATAGATATCGGTATCTAGTATTTTTTTTTATAGTATTACCGTATAAATTATATATGCATGTGTTCTACATAGATATCTAGTTTTGTAATTATTGATGAATAAGAAAGGATATGAAAGTCAAACCTTAGTAAGATAATACTGATGAAGATAGCAATCAAGAACATGATCCTTTCCGGAATATAAAAGGATAGAATTTTTAAGATTTATCTATTCCGAATGAATCGTTATCTTAGAACTAGATATCAATTGACTTTTCTATTTAAGTTTTTAAATTCTAGTAACAAAAAATAACTTTCATAAAGTTCATATACTTGAAAAGAATGGGTCTATCTACTCTGATTGATAGCTTATCTTAAAGTTATAATCTCTATGTCTGTATGGTACTTAAGGTATATGACAAAATATTTGTTTATTGTTTAACTTCTTAAACTTCTACCGTTAGCTACACTATGTCAAACAACATTACTTATAAACATGAAGAAAATGCATTTTTTTGGTAAAAAAATACATCGTCAACATGAATCGTCACCGCCTCTCCATTCTATCATTTTCTCTTTTTATTCTTTCTTCTTCTCCTCTCGTTTTTCTTTTCTAGCAGCTCTTCTAGATCTTGTACTCTATTACCATTCTCTTTCTTTCCTTTTTCTTTTCTCCGCATGACAATCACATGCAAACTCACAGAGCCTTGCTGGTTATATTGGAGTACATGTGAATTTACGTTTCTTCTATTCACCTATTCATTTAAACTTTTTTTTGCTTTAATTTAGTTAAAATTAAAAAATTTATTAGAATAACATTCTACATAGCTATAATGCAAACCGATCATAGAGTACCAACAATAAATACAACAGCTATGCGGCAACAACATCGAAAACGGTCATATTCGAATGCAAGTTTTCGTAAACGTGATCGACATGACCTTATTTGTGTTGTATGTCATGCGCCCGCAATGGGTAAGAACCAATGTTATACTTAGAACTGTGATTTATTTATCCCTAATGCACTTTTTATTCTTTGATGTACTTATATTTTTAATGTAATAAGGTTATAACTTCGACCAAATAACATGTGAAAGCTGTAAAGCATTTTTTCGACGAAATGCATTGAATAATGCGGTAAATTTCAACATCATTTCTCTAATTTGTACATATTATCATATGGATTAATTTTTTTTTTATATTAATTAGAATCGATTAAAATGCCGTGCGGGTACGAACGATTGTATTATTACGTTAGAAACCCGAAAAGTTCGTACATAAAGTTTGATTTGATTTTTTGTTTTTTCTAAATATAATTTTGACTTTTTTTTTTTTTTTTTTTTTTATTCTTTTAGAGGTGCAAATATTGTCGTCTAAAAAAATGTTTTGATAAAGGCTTACGTAAAGAATGGATTATGTCCGAAGAAGAAAAACGTACAAAAAAACAAAAAATAGAAGATAATCGTCGTTTACGTGCTCTATCACAAAGTTTATCTATATTATCTCAATCATCATATTCACCATTAATTATACCTGATGATAGACATTCACAATTTTCTTTTCAAACTTCCGAAGAAATATTTGATGAAGATTCAAATGAATATAAATATTTTTTAAATGATAGTGATCGTATATTATTAACTAAAATTGAAGAACATTATACTCAAGCTGTTCGATTAAATATTTCGGTTATAAAAGGTTATGATAATCCATGTTTAAGAAATCTTAATGATTTTGTTGATGTTCTTAATGAACCAGCTCATATAAGTGCTTTAAGAATGATAACACTTTTTAAACTAACACCAGAATTTAATGTAGGTTTTTACTTTTTACTTTTCTTTTTTGTTTTCGATGCTTTTTCATCAATACATTTTCAGTCATTGCATGAAGATGATCGACTTACACTTGTTAAACACAATTTAATAGCAATATTAGTTTTACATTTTACAATATGTACGGATATGACTACTGGTATTTTTCATGAACCAAATACTCCAAATGATTTTTGTTATCATGCCAGTGAAATACGCAATTATTCCGATGCTATTTATTATAAAACAATAGATTTCATTGATGAACTACAAAAACTATGTTCTCATGATCATTTAATAATGAAACTATTAATATTAATTATTATTTTTTCTAAAGGAGCTGATTATATCGAACCAATATTAGTCGAATCAGAAAAAGTATTCTATGCTCAAAATGTTTACGTTGATCTTCTGTGGAATTATTTAAATGTACGTTTTGGTTGTGATCAAACACCATACATTTTTTCTCGTCTTATATTTTGTTGTATGAAATCCCATTCATTGGCACGAGAAACAAAAGAAACAATAACTAAAAAAGATGTTCAGAATAAAAAGTTTGCTCCATTAATGCAATCTATTTTACAAACATCCTAGTGAACATTTCAATATTCACAATCGAAAACATACGTATATATATATATATATATGTATATATACATTTATACGTGTGTGCATTAGTACTATTTTACGTTCTATGTTGATTTTTGGAAAAAAAAAGTGTTGCTCACAAACAAAATAAATTTAAACGTGTTGTTCGTCTTAGATTTTAATAAAAATTATTTTTGTTTTTATTTCAAAACAATGAAACAGAACAATATCCACTTTAATTAAATATTATATATATATATATATATTAGATAGATAAGAAAAACTCTCCTATTCAATTATATTTGTTCATGTTTAACTATAATCTTGATTGTTAATTTATAGAAATTGAACATTATAGATTTGTCTGAATTTTGAAAGTAAATATTAATTTTAGAAATTTCTTTTAGTAACTCGCCAGCTTTTTATTATACAAGTCGTAAATTAATATTTATTCCATATTGTATCGATCGTCGATCGAATATTGATAAAAATGATATTCAATGTTTATTTCAAGTTAAATTATCATAGTAAATATTCTTTCGTGAAACACAAATTACAAAGAATGTTGAAGTATATGCATGAAAATTTGGATCCACCGTCTCAACAAACCTTTACAGACGTTGATATAAGATTGCAAGCCGTATGTCAATAGTATCTCATTATAATATATGAACTAATTCTTTATCGCATCTTTGGAGGATTAAGTAAAAGGATACTGAAACAATGTATCCCAAAATAGATAGAACATAATCTTATCAACAACAGCTACATCATGTTTTATATCTTAATCCCATAAGGATTGCATTCACACTTTTCTTTGTTATTTTTTATTCAATTAAAATCGGTAAATATGATTTGACATTATTGTTAAAATTTCAAAAGTTTAATTTATGAACATATAATGCTAAAAACACTTGGTACACAGATGACGCCATACAAATGAACTTTGGTGCTCATTAACACATTAATAAAATCAAATTAAAATAGTTCTTTTTTCTTTTCATTTGAATTGATTTACAGTATCTTTTTGACCCTAGCAAGTACGTGACTTTTTGGTCACTTTTCGACCAATATTCTCTACGTGTTCTAGCACTAATACATGGGATATTAAGTATGACATACTGTTGAAGGATCTATTTTTTTCATTTTTGAAGTGTTTAACATATAACAAAAAAAAGAAAGAAATCTTATGTCATATATAATGAGGGTCACAGGACACTAACAAGCAATATTTATTTTGAAGGATATCTAAGTCAAACAATCGAACGATCACGTCTATCATGATTTATATCTTATCTTTTAAGAAATAGAAGAAAACATTTAAGAATTCATGATCTTGAAAAATCTTAGCATACAATTCTTACAAAATCTTTTGAAAACATCATACAGATAATATAATCTTGCACAAATCGTACGTTTTTCAAATGATTTTTTGTCTGATATTTTTTATTTCAGCACAAGATTTATTTTCATCTTATTTTTCTTTTGCAAGTATTGATTTAAAATAAAATAAAACAATTTGAATTGTACTATTTACACTTCGATAAATGATAATGATAGGTATATTATCATTTTTCTTCATTTAGATGGGAATGTTTTTACTTAACGACATCATTTAAATATCTCCCCGTCAAAAATCAATCTTAGATCAGGCACATTCAAATCGCATGAATTTTTTTAGAACATTTTGTAACTGTAGTGTAAAGATCAGCGTTGGAATCGATAACCGTATACGACCGATGAAGTTCAGCATGACCCGTTAGAGGATTTCGTTTGATTTCTGCATGTTTTTTGTTTTCGAAAATTAAAAGCTTTTTACTAATATGGAAAATAAGATCGGTAAGGGAATATGTATCAGACTATTCTATTAGATCAAAATTTTTCATAGAATCTCTATT